CTAGGGACTGTAGTGGTAGGACAAGGGGTAATGGGTTTAAACTTAAACAGGGGAAGTTTAGGTTAGATATAAGGAAGAAGTTCTTCACGGTGAGGGTGCTGAGGCACTGGAATAGGTTGCCCAAGGAAGCTGTGAATGCTCCAACCCTGGAGGTGTTCAAGGCCAGGTTGGACAGTGCCTTGGGTGACATAGTTTAGTGTGTGGTGTCCCTGCTCATGTCAGGGGCTTGGAACTAGATGATCTTATGGTCCTTTCCAACCCTAACTATTCTATGAGTCTGTGATTCTATGATTCTAACTTCTGGCCAAAAAGCCGGCTCATGAAATCAGGCAGCACAAATGTCAGCAAGAGCAAAGAAAATGGCATTATGTACATTTAGTAATAAATCTAATCAAGAGTAAGGCTAGTGCTGATCTGTTACTCAGAGTCAGAGGTGTAGCCAGGGAATACCACAAGTCCAGACTAGACCCTCACCAGTGTTGGTTTTGACCAAAAGACCCCCAGAGAAACAGAAAAGAAATCGCTGATCAAGTCCAATCTGATCGTCTCCTCAGAGAACTGAGTCAGGCAGCAGCCTGCCCACATCATGAACTCTTATTTCTGAGGGACCATTGACAGAGTGCCTGGAGCCCAGGCAGTGACAGAGGAAAGCCGGGGGGTCCAATAATGCAGCTTCATTTCTGCCTAATTATTTATTCAAGAAGTTTTAAACCTTCACCGCACCAGCAGCAACAAGAATACAAACTATGAGACTCTCAAGTCAGCTCAGCCTCCTTTTAGCAAGGTAACAGCTGTGTGGGTGCTCAAGAAGTTGCACATGTCACAGTCTGACATGAGCAAGATGGGGGAATTTGGGTGATGTGGTCTAGCATGAGACATCCCTGCCCATGGCATGGGGGTTGGAACTAGATGATCTTAAGGTCCTTTCCAACCCAGACCATTCTGTGATTCTGTGAATAGCCTGGGATAGAAAAGCTGGAAAATAAATCGTTGTAAGCAGTTCACACAATCCATCCTCCTGCTTGAAGAATGGAATTACTGATGAATCAGGCTCTAGTCAGCATTTTTGTCAATTCTCTGAGTGACAGAGTCAAGAGCCACTTCTGGGGAGCTTAGACCTGGAATTCAACACGATTTTGAAAGCTTCGAGAAGTAGTAAGAAAGCAGCAGGGTGAAACTCAGTGTGGTGAAATAGAAGCTGCTTACCTCGGCTGCAAAAATCTATGGAGGATGGTAAAGAGGAGACAAGAGACCAGCTGTTCAGAGACAGGATGCGGAGGTCAGTGTTGCTGGAAGAAAAGCAGTCATCATCCTGGAACACAGGCCAGTGAGCAACTCACAGGCCGTAATCCTCCTGCTGCACATCAGCAAGGCCTTGGCTAAAACTGAGTTTCGTGCTTCAAGAAGATGGACAAAGAAAATGGAAACGGTTGGACATTTAGCAACTCTGACTTGGTACAAAGAACTGGCTGAATCAGATGTTTGGCAGTGAGAAGGGCTTTGCTTTTGCTGGGGTTTTTTTTGTTTGTTTTCCTAAGAAAATGCCAGATTTCCTGCAGAGTCTGTAAAAATCTCTACTACTGGAGACATTTCAGAACAGATTAGTCAAACATCTCCACCAGCAGTAGCTATTTCATGGAACATTGGGGTGAAAAGCAGACTAGAGAATGCCCATGTACATTTCAGATTTATCTTTATATGAACACAGAACACTATTTCCAGTGAATAGCTGAGATTCCAGAACATCCACATTCAGAACATTTGCAATTCTACATTTAATTGCAGAGTTAGAAATATTTCTGAAAGTTCTTGAACATGCTGTAGGAATAGATTGTTTCTTCACTTTGCAAACTGATGTACTAGCAGCTTCTAGTAATAAACAGACATCCTTTAGAGATTCTGTGGAGCTTGCACTAGGCAGGGTATTTTTCATCCCTATTTCTCCCTCCTCCTCCAGCAGGTTGAATATAATACGTTTTAAGTTTTATTTTACAGTGCAGTTACTTATTCCAGCACAGAAGTTTAGGTTAGATCTAAGGAAGAAGTTCTTCACAGTGAGGGTGCTGAGGCACTGGAATAGGTTGCCCAAGGAAGCTGTGAATGATCCAACCCTGAAGGTGTTCAAGGCCAGGTTGGACAGTGCCTTGGGTGACATAGTTTAGTGTGTGGTGTCCCTGCTCATGGCAGGGGTTGGAACTAGATGACCTTAAGGTCCTTTCCAACCCAAACCATTCTATGATTACATGAGCCAACCGCAGGTTGCATTGGTTATGTCAGGGAAGTAAGGGGAAGAAGAGTGGAAGTTGATAAGCCAGCATTCTCACAGTACTTTTGAGATACAACTGTAACATTTATAGTGATATTTCTTCCTTTGACAACCTCTAGATGCAAAATATGTTTTGCATCTTTAATTTCATTTTTGATGTCTTAAGATACGTAGCATTGAAACTCTTAGCAAGTATCATATGATCATCCTATATTGTAGGCTAAACGCTTTGGGATCAGAGAATGTATTACAAAGTTCCCTGCAAAGGCATCTGCAGAGCACTAGGCAGAGCTCCATATCTTCCTCTGTTCAAGATCCCTTAAGCAAGATGTTAAGATTAATTATTTCATGTGCTAGTTTCATACATCAATTTGAAATTGAACCTGTGCAGTCTAAAAGGCACTGACTGAGCATACTACATATTC